CAGCCTGGAAGAAACAAAGAACTGTGTGAAAAGCTTGAGAGAGACATAGACCTTCAACTTGATCCAGTCCAAAGAGCAATTCAAAAAGCTTACCAGGTTTTTGAGACATGCCTGCGTGAAGGGGTTGAAAAATCTATAAGCTCATGTGAAGAAAAGCTGCATAACTTCCTGTTTCCTCGGGTATGTTACATGGCAATAACCATGAAGTTAATTTATATTTGCATGTGTTTTAAATAATGCATTATTTTTAAGGGAAACAAGGGGGGTTATCATGGAACATTGAACAGTGTTGTCAACAATGGTGGAGTCTACAAAACCAAAAATGGAAAACAAATTAACCTCAACATGAAACTCTCTTCGATCCTGACTGACAGCGTTGATAAGGAATTCAGGAAGACCTTCCCGTAAGAACTTAATAAAAATATAAAATAATATGCAACATTGATGAAAGTGTAAAATTTCTAAATCTACAAATTAAAGATTTATTAAAAGAAAGTAATCATAAAGTATGATTTTTGAATGACTTCAACATATCAAAATGTTTCAGAAATGAACAAAAATGTGGTCCATTCAATGGTGTCATTGACAAGTTTTCACTTGACACTGAAAGTCTGATGAAAAAGTACAAAGATGTGAAACTGCAGCTGATTTTTCTGCAGACAGAGGTAAATTATGAGAAAATATTAATTTTGTTCATTAAAAGTTAAATCCAACCATTTATCCTCCTGACTACCAGTAGTTCATTTTTGTCCTCTGTAGAGGACATTTCTAAACTTGAATATCTCCCACCCCCTGCATTCTACTGAATGAATTCCTTTTGGTATCTGGAGAGGACATTTGGGGCTTTTCAATGATACCACATGTGAAGGGGTGGGACTTTTGTACATACATTTTTCTAACTCATAAAAATGCTGTTCATCAGTAATAACACATTTTATGGGAAGAGACAAAGTAAGTGCATAAAACCTTTTATTACCTTACAAAAGACTGTGGTATTTAAAAAAAATGGTGATTGGACAATATTTTTTTTTCTCCTGGTGGTCAGGATTATGATAGATTTTAATAAAAGCAATTCAGTTTCTTTAGTTGCTTTGGACTGCAAAAAAACAAAAGATGACATTGTGGTGAAATTATTTTTGCTACATGTCTCAAAGGAGGAAAGAATTAAGAAGAAGCTCAACAAACGCATCAGAGACCAAAAGAAAATAATGTACAACAACCTGACAGAGACAATTGAGAAGTCTATGCAAGAATGCTACAAGAGTGAGATTTTCTATCATCACATAATTTATTTTACAGTAAAACATTTATAATCTTTCTTACCATTTGTTATTTTATCTCTGTGTTGCAGCTGCAGCAGGATACTCGGGTCCTGGTATGCTGGAGAAAATGAGAGAAACAGTCTCAAGACATGTTCATGAATCAAAGGGCACCATGTTTGCCAAGGCTAAAAACGCCATGCTGAGCCACCTGCTGAGATTACAGGTTTGTCCTTTTATTGAAATTTAAACAGTACCTATGTTGCTCATCCAGAGCAAAATCTGAACTGAAACAAAGTCCTCCACAATTACTCTGACTCTAATAACCTACTCAAGGTTTTACAGTAGGAGAAACAGCATTACAAATCCTGCGCCGTACCTAAAAGTGGGTAAGAGGTGCTTGTGTACACAGTGTGGCACTGTGTTAGATTGCACATAATTTATTAAAATTGATTTCATACATGTACGAGTAATTGCAGAGGGCATTGTATGTGCAAACTAGTTTGTCTTGAATCCAGCTCTAGACTTCTACCTAAAAATAAAGATTTTACTTCTAAATTAGGTGGAAATTTTGAAAACAATGAAGGACACATTGAACAACTCCATTGACCTCTCACTCAGGACAAACTGTCAAGCAATTCCAGGTAAATCAAGACTTATTTGTGTTTAAAATGTGGCCTGAAAGGCATTCTATAAATATTTGATGCTACATCTCATCAAAAACTGCTTTCTTAGATGTTTCAGCAGAGTTAGCAATGGTAAAGAAAATCTACAAGAACCTTAAGAACAGCTCAAATTAGGAAAGCTCATGAAAAGGGTAAAGTATTGAATTTTATTTTCAACCTTCTCTGTAAACATACAGTATGTATTGGTATTGATCAATGGTGTATATGATTTGAATAAAACATCTCCCTGTCTTTCAAATTAACAGCTCATCTGATGCCATGACAAGAATCATCATAGGGAATACTGAAACAACTTTGCTCCAATATTATTCATTTAAAACAAATGTATTAATATTACAACTCCTTGCGTGTCCGTTAACCATTTTCTGATAAATGAATGCTTGTATAGAAATCATTATATTAATTATAAAAAGTTTTGGTTTTTTTACTCTAAAAGACATGAGTTTTGATTTTTGTAGCAAATGACTTCTGAATGTTAGACTGGAGAAAGAAACATGTCACAAGTGAAGTTTTAGATAAGAAGAGAGAACCTTTCTACTGTGTAATAAAAATAACATAGATATAGATAGTTTTAAGTGTTTCACAAGTGATTATCAAGATTTTCTTCGATCAATGTGGAATAATTTACTCAAGGTTTGACTTGTCGAATTCACGTTTTATGCATGTTTAAAATTAGTCTCAATGTCTGAAAATCAATAACATGCACCATTTTTGTGTTTAACAAATAATATTATGAATGTTTTTATATTTTGCTGTTTGTTGTTGGTGCTAAAAGTTGGAAAAAATAATATGAATGGATTTTTTTTTTCACACTGAATGATGGACACACCCAAACAAATCTGATCAAACCCTAAATCTCCATCCTTGAAATTGTTCCTTAAATACTTAGTTCTCACTTATACCTTGGATATTGTGCATGGTTCATACCTCAACGTATATACTTGACAATTGTATGAAGAAGGGCTTCAGGGACAGTAGAAATTAGCATCTATCTTTAATGGGACAATTAATCAGATGGAGGTGTAGGGAATTTGTCATTAATAGCTGTGGCAATACATTTTGGAGATAGGTGCCTCACACATGGAATGCAACAACATCCACATAAGAATAATACTTTTACTGAAACAATAAAGAGTTATCTAAACCTGATGAGCTGCTGCGTACATGTTATTTAACTATCCAACTCGACATGTTTTCACAAACACTGCCTATGTGACTCAGAGAGGGAATGGGGTTTTAATTAACATTTAAAGCTCAATGCATGTTTCCAATGTTTACCCTCAAAAACCAAAAATATTTTATTAAATGAAAGAAGGACAGATACCACAGAAATAAAAAGACAATTTTATGGGGTGGGTTTTCAAACATCCAAGGATCCACTCCATTGCCCTTGTTTAACATCAGTGCCCCACACTTATATATATAAAAAGCATTATCAACAAAGAGTTATTTGTTCTCCAGAAAACCTAGTTTGGACTTGCTTTCATTTTTTCCAGCTTTCCTTTGTCCTGACCGAGCGTGTCTTTTAAAGAAAGGACTCTTTACAAGACAAGAACATTAAGTTTATATCTTATGTAGATTTTAATCACCCAGAATAAAGAAATCAAAAGATGCACAGAACAAATACAACCCAAGTTCTGAGGTGATGACATGAGACAAGACTTGTAGACTATTTCTTTTGATAACCTGAGATTGATCCAAATTAATAATCTAAAACTGAACCATGTATAGGGTGGAAATATTAGCTTTGTGGGATGTGCATACCCAAAGCTATGTTTGCATGTGTTAATAAAACACAGAACCTTAGAGCTAAAAGTTGCACGCAAGGGAGAAAATGAGGAGTTGAGAGCAGGTAATTTCCATAAACATTTGCCTCAGGACATCACAATAAGCACCTGATATTACAAGCTTTAAACCTCATGATTTATCACTCCCTATGTATCTGGGAAAACAAGGAACTGTTTATAAAACAGTTCCTTGTTAATTTGCAACTAAAAGAGTGGTCGTTTTGATAAATATATA